AGAGGGAAGGTGGGCATGATGGTGCATGACTGCAACCCTGGAACACGGGGAGGCTGGGCCAGGAGGGTCACAAGTCTGAGCCGGCCGAAGCAGCTTAGTCAGAGCCTGTCTCAAAATAAAGGATAGAAAGTGGGCTGTGGTTGCAGGTCCATGGGAAGACCCTGAGTTCAATCCCCAGTACGCTCCCACATGTGAAAAGAAGGGAGGCTGTGCTTTCCTAGGAATTCCAATGAATAAATGTGAAGTAATGACAGAAGTAGAAAAACCACATTTGGCCAATGTCAGTGCGAACGGTTGCAGCTGACGTTACTGGGTGAATGTACAAATTAAAACAAAACACGTATCCCAAAGTGTCTCCTCCTAAGCTACTTCTTCATCACCCAGGGCAAGTGGCCACTTTGCTCTGTCCGCGGGCACCGCCTTATCCAAGGGATGGCAGTTACTGTCCCCAGGAACAGATGCGGCAGCCTCCTGCTCCCCCCGCTGTGATGTGCTGAGAAGGACACCGTGGCCCTTCTGTGATGTTCTTGCCCGAAACACAGCCGCCATCTAATCACGAGAAGCAGCAGCCTCGCCCAGAGCGAGGGAGAGTAGCCAAAATAACTGGCTGCTCTCCAAAAGCCACAATCTTGAAAGACAAAGAATGAGGGAACACTCCCAGAGCAGAGGAGACCAAGGATGCAGGACAACTCCGTGCGACATGTGACCCTGGGTTGGATCCTGCAACAGAGAGACTTTAATGGGACAGCTGGTGAAGTCTGGTGAGGACTGGAGATAAGTGAATATGGTGTTGTGCATCTGTGTCCCTAGCCTGGCTTTATCGACTATGCTGTGGTTATACACAATGTCAGCATTTGAGGAAGATGAGTGAAGAGTATATAGGAATACTTTGCATTACTTGTGTGTGTGAGTGTGTGTGTGTGTGTGTGTGTGTGTGTGTGTGGTGCTGGGGGTGGAACTTAGGGCTTGGCATGTGCTCTGCAAGCGCTCTACCATTCACCTACACCCCCAATCTCTACTTTTGCAGTTTAAAATTATTTTAAAGTTTAAAATTATTTAAAATAAAAAAGTAAAGACAAGCACATGATGACATGAGCCATTTATAGGAAAATGGATGTACCTTGAGATTATAAGTTTACATGAATTAAACCAGACACACAGGCTTAAGTTTTGGATGGTTTCTCTTAGGTGAGAAACCCAAATTATAAGTAAGGGCAAAATAAACAGGAAGCTGGGAGGTAGATCCTTCTTCATTGGGAAGAGGATCTAGAGATGGAGGGAGGGGAGAGAGGAGAGAGAGAAAGGGGATGAAAACGGAATGCAGCTGGCTGTGGTGGCCCACACCTGTAACATCAGCACTTCGGAGGCTGAGGCAGGAGGGTTACCGAGAGTCTGAGGCCAGCCTGGGCTACATAGTGAGTTCAAAGGTAGCCTGAATTACGTATGAGACCCTGTCTCAAAAAAAAAAGGAATGAAGATGTGTCATGTATCTGAACCGGCTCCACATAAGGGGTGTAACGTTATGTACTGCAAACATGTACTAATAAAAAATAGTTATTACAAAGTGTGACAGATTTTTGATTACCAAATATTTCAAACCCCCTGGGCCAGGCTCTCCTGCCTTTATCATGACACAGAAGTAGAAGGAGGAGAAGTATTTGGCAAACATTGAGCAATACACACAGTAAATGTTCATGAGAGGTTTGAGTTGAATTTCAGGACAGACCAACCCTCTGTTCCACTTCTGGAATATTCTGATCACGGCTTCTGGATTGTGTTCCTGCCTTTCACAGACATCCCTGGCAGGGTCCTGAGGGCCACAGGCCTTCACATTTCCTGCTTTCCTAATGCTGGCCCTTGAGGGATGCACTGAAGGAAGAGATCTATCCAAGTGCTTGGGTTCAGGAGAGCTGAGGGCTCACAGGCCAGCCTCTGTTCCCAGGCTTTAACGCTTAGCCAGCCTGGAGGGGAAGAGTCCGCTACTGTGTGCCTTTTCAACAGAGGGAGTGACTTGCCCAGGGTTTCTCACTCCTTCCTACCCAGCTAATTAAAACAGCAAAACAGGCTCTGAGCCCGGCAGCCTACCTCCAGAGTCCGTGTTCTGATGGGTCAGAAGATCTGGGCCACGTTTGAGTGGAAGGTCCAGTGCGAACCACCATCAGCGCCTCTGGGAGAGAATTCTGGACCTGCATCTCAGTGCTAGGGCCGTGGAGGTCACATAATGGGAATAACGAAACTCCCAGCCTGCTAGACTCATATTCCCCAAGATCGAAGAAAAAATTATTTTTTAATTTTTTGAGACAGGGTTTCACTATACAGTTCAGGCTGGCTGTCAACTCACTTTGTAGTCTAGGCTGGCCTGAAACTCACATCCATCCTCCTGCCTCAGCCTCCCAAGTGCTGAGATTATAGGCGTGAGCCACCCTGCCTGGCCTCAAAGAACGAATTCTGAGGAAGAGCGGAGTTTAAGAGCAGGAAAATTGTTCTGAGAGGTAACTCTGAAAGACAGGAGGAGACCCAAAAGTGGATTTCCAGTGAGCCCACTTCTCAAAGGACGTTTTATAGAGAAAAATCACCAGGTGGGTGCAAAATCATGAGTAGATACAGTGTGGGTCAAAACTATGATCAACCAATAAAATTACAAGAATAGCTGCTTAGGTAATATTGATCCAGTTGAGAAGCAGGTCACATAGCATCTGTATGTGGAAAGGACAAAGACCTTTTTAGGAAGGGACAGATCACGAGGTCCTGGTTACCCACCTTGGTGACTGACGTCTGTCTAGATTTTATTAGACCTGGTGAGTGAAGAGACGAAGAAAGCTCGTTCCATCTGCTGCTTCCCCTCCCCTTCTCCCTTCAAATCCAACTAGGTTAAGTTTTAACTTCCTAAAGGCCATAAAACAAAGGCCTGAGGTACTAGCTCCTGACATCCTGGGTCTTCCCTATCTGGTAGCCCCAGTCACAAATTGTGTTAATTGCATCAGATTGTATTAGATTGTACATTCTTCACAGAAATAGCTTCGTTTATATCATAGTAATACCTGTAACTGTAAATGTGTGTCTTCCTTTTCCCCTGGGTAAAAGATTGATATGTTAATCAATGCTCTCATCTGTAAAGAATTGTAAAATCTTACCCAATTGATATGTTAACCATTGTTGCCCTCTACAAATAGAAAGGTTGTGGTGCTAAAGTAAGGTAATTATGTCAGGAAACTCAGAGATAAAGTCTGCTGACTATGCTAATCAAGATTGGGAAGTATGTCAGAACCAAGCCACACAGGAGCTAGGTGACCTAAAAATAAGCTGTGCAAAACAAGACAGTTAATCAACTCTGACCCACTGGTCGCCCCTCATGATCTGACCAATCACAAATGGACAAATCACCAACTGTTCTGCTCTAACTGCTATGATTGGCTTCTGTAACAATGCTTGCTTGCTTTGCGGTTTTCATCCTTAAAAACACCAGCCTTGCCCCAACTCAGGGTTCTCCGTTTCCACCTGTTTGGAGGACCCCGTGTACACGGAATAATAAAAACCCCATTGTTTTTACATGAGAGCGAGGCCCTTGGAGTCTTCCTCGCGACACCGGTCTAACATGACACAAATCATAGTATGATCTTCAGTTTATTGCTTATCCCTCAGGAGGAATGTTGGCCCAGTCAACCCCCTCAAGGCCTGGCCTTGGACAGATGCGCTTCCAGCCAAGCTGTGCTGTGTTCTCATGCTCTGCACTGACTCCCTTGGGGGCCTCGCCCTGTCTGACTGCCTAGAATATTTCTACCTCACTGAGCTGTTTATAGTGGAATCACCAGGAGGGGCTGGCACCCAGGGCCCTCCACATCAGGACTTATAATTAGCCATTTGCCCAGACATTTGTAAGTACTATAAGGTGGTTTACACGGAGGTTTGATTTATGGGGGTTCCTGATTCTCTTCTGGGAAGACTCAACACTGAATCCTGGGGTGTCTGAGACCCCTCCTGCTGCTGAGCTGGGCCCCAGCGCTGATCTCTGGAAACCTAAAGGGAGAAACCTGAATGACCACTAAGGTCCTGGGGTTTCTTCCCATCTTGCACACTCTGAGAGGCATCTCTGACAGAAGCAGGCTGAGCTTGCTGTGTGACCTTGAATGGACCCTGCCCTCACTGGGGTTTGGCGAGTTCAGCTGTGAGCTGATAATTCATGGCTAAACCATTTGCTTCTAGCACCTTTATTTTGTGTCACAGAGAGCTACCACAAGGGCAGAAGGAAGCCAGGCCCATTCCTGGAGGACTCGAAGGTGTTTGCTCTTTATTCCTGCGGAAGAGCTTGAGGAGGGATTGTCTCGGGCTCTGTCTGCACACAATTAGGGCTGACTCAGAGGCGAACATGCCAGGTGTTAAAATAAGAGTTGGCGGTTCTGAGAAGGGAAGTCCAGGAGCCAGCCAGGATGGGATTAGCTGTTGATAAGGCCTGGCATTGTTCTAGGCCTCCTCTGGGGCTCACACCACATCCTAGAAGAGAAGCCAGGCCCCTTGGCCTGGACAGTCAGGGCAGAGCTGAGGGAGCTGGCCTGGAAGGCTGTCTGGAGCCTTGGCTGGAACAGGCAGAATGGCGCAGTGGTTAGGAGCACAGCTTACACTGAGGGTGGCCCTGCTTCCAATAGCCAAGTGCCTTGGTTTGTTGCTTGACCACTTCTCACTCCAGGGCCAGCAAGGGCTGAATCGAGAGACAGGCCTTCACGCATATGAGGCCATTTGAAATGGCTGTGCAGGCCCAGCTGTCCTAGCCAGCACTTCCACCCCCACCTCAAGGTCAGGGCAGGAGCCAGGGAATGGGGGTGGTGGCCCTGAAAGAGAGAGAGGGAGAGCACGGGGGAGTAACCACTCCTGTTTAGACTCTTCAGTCTTGGAAAACAAAGGCTGACAGGAATGTGAGGAAACCACTGTTTACTCTGTTTTCAAGTGTTCCACTCAAAAGTGTCCTAAAATGCTTTTAGGCAGAGGTGGATGGGGGAGGTAAGTGGAGAAGGCAGGCGCCACGGTGGGAATGGAGCTCTGGGTGAGGACTCTGGTTCTTTGGAAGCTGTGAGGTGGAAGCCGGGGCTGGGGAAGAGGCCATCTTTCCTCTCACTCCTAGGGCCTAGGGCCTTCTTGAGGGTGGAAAGGAGCCAGAGGAGAAGAAGCTCAGGGGTTGTTGGTGGAGCCAGAAGGGCCCAGAATGCATTTCCAGGAAAGTGGCAAAGAGGACAGTGGACACTGGAGACTGTCTCACAGGTTGGTTGGCAAGCAATGGCAATCTAGGAATGCTGGTTTAGCTGGAGAAGGATTTGGGGCAAGGATGCATAGAATCCAAGGGCAGGATTTCGAACCCAGCCTCCAGAAGGACAAAATGGGAGAATCTTGACGGGTCCAACTGTCATGGGCTTGGCCTGGCTGCCCGTTCCTGTGGTTCATCTGCAGACCTGGTCTCTCCGTTTGGTCATTGTTGCTCACAGTCTCAAAATATCTTTGCCCATGTGGCTACCTCAGGCTCTGCAGTTTGCAATCTTCTAGAGATGGATGGACATCCAGCTACCCAGAGACCCTGTGCCCCACCCCAGACTCCAGCTAGAGGTCAGCCCCGCCTGCCTGAGGGTTGGTACCTGAGTCTCGTGGGTGTGGCCAGGTGAGGTGGGCCCTGGGAGCAATGAGGAGTCCCCAGTTCCTCAGCAGCTGTGAGGAGGTGGTTTTTGCTACCCGGGATGTAAACTACAGAAACAAGGGAGCTGGGAAGCTGGGAGATTGGGTAGAACCAGGCATGGAGGGTTAGGGTCAGGGAAACTTCCAAGGAAGCTCAAAAAAATGGACACCATAGAGCTGGGTTGCACATTTAATTTAAGGCTCTTATCACTATGGGATCACTGTGAGAGGGAGACAGTGTCTTCCCACTGTCTCTAGGTTATGGGGGCGAGGGGCCCATCCACTCGTGTTAGAAGTGGAGGTCTGAGTTAGACGTGCTGGCTCCACTGTTTCTGGGCTGGATGGAAGAAGCTGAGGGAAAAGGCTATTTTTGGGTGGAAAGGACTTGACCAGGTTTGTAGTTTTGGGAGTAAGTAAACCCAGGCTTGTGTTCTGAAGCTGAGTTTTTCTTTAAATTTAAAATTCTCCGTTGTCTAGTCTCCTTTCTACCTGATTTTATTTCTTTTATCTTACTTCAGAAAAGGAATCCAATGTCCGACAAACCAGATATCTGCACCCATAAGCTGTATTTTGTCCACATGAAGAATAGTTTGGACTTATATGAATTAGAATTTCCCATAATGATAACTTATAATCTCATTGGTATCAATCAATATAGTAAAAAGATCTGACTTCTTTATGAAGCCGTTTTTGAACAAGATAACTTCAAGAGAGAAACAGAGAAAGAGAAAGAGACAAGAGAGAGACAGAATGAGGTTTAAGAACTATACAATTTTCATAGCAAGAAAAGAAAAAACCCTAGGGAATGTTCTAGAAGGGTGTATGTGTGTAAATCCAGATCTTACCCTAGCCTTCTGACATTAGAACCTCTGAGGGTAGGATGTAACTGTCCCCTACATCCAGGTGACTCCTATGAGTGCCCAGGGTGTCTAGTGACAGATAATAGTTCACCCCATCTCCGTGAAAGGCATTAGAATATTTGCAGATTGCTGACAGAAACCAACATGGTGGAACCTGCTTTGTTTCCTGGGCCTTGGGCCCTGGGAGCTGGCATCAAAGTGCCTCATGGCTCAGAGCAGTTCTGTAGCTCTGTTGTGTCAGAGGAGCCACGCAGTGTCTTAGCAGGGCCAACTGTGCTGATTCTACCTCTACGTGGTATTCATAAAGATGGAGGTGGTGCTCACTGTCTTGGTTTTCTGGAACCTTCTCCATTTTAGCTCTGACTGTCTTGCTTGACAGGAAACTCCTCAGTCCTGGGGAAACTGGGCCCCTGCTCACAGTGTACAGCAGCTCACTTAGGTAGTGCGTATGTGGGAAAAGGCGCCAAACTGAGGGGCAGAGAAGCCCTGCCAACTGCCTTCACCACTGAGCCCGGCTGCACTCCCACGGCCTTCAGGGGCGTCTTTCCCAGGGGACCCCGCATGGTTCCCTGTGCTGGGCTCCGCTGTCTCCTGGAGAATGAAGTCTTTTCTCACACCCACACACGCATATTCACAAGGACAAAAAAATCAGGTATTGTTCAAACTTATAGCTGGTTATATTCTAGGAAATGGTGGTGTAAGTGAAAAAGATAAAAATTGGATCAATTTTCCCACAGAAACAGTACCATGATGAGGAACCCTGAATAAGGGAAAGAGGTCTACAAAGTTCAGGTCTGGGCATGAGTTTTTTTTCTAAATTTCTTTAATTATTCCTTCTTTAATTAATCCCTGAGAAACCAGACCCCGAGTGTGATTAACAGGAAATTAAATACCTCTCCTGTCAGATCTCTTCAAGGGCACACACACACACCAGAGGAAAAGGTCCAGCCGGCCTCTAGATGCCTGCGGGGTTATTTAATTTGCCAGAAATGTGCTCTAAGTGAAAGGCTACTCAAATGACAACAGTGGTTCTCAGCTTGGCACACACTGCAGTCACCCAGAGGAGCTGGCAGGCCCCCGAAGCCCGGATCCCATCCCTAGAGATGTGCTCATGGCTTGGACATCAGGAATTTTTTTCTCATTTAACCAAGGTAATTTTATTTATTTACTTATCTATGTATTTATTCACTCATTCATTCATTTTTAAACCAAGATAGTTTTAAATGAATCTTCAAATAAGAAAGCATAGAAACATTTTGGAATATTATGTAGTTTTTATACTATTTAGAGAAAAGCGATTTTTTTTTTTTTTTTGAGACAGAGTTTTGCTCTGTAGCCCAGGTTGGCTTTGAACTCACTGTGATCCTCCTACCTCAGCCTCCTGAGTGCTGCATTGCAAGGGTGCGCCACCACACCTGGCTTAAATTTCTCATTTTAAGCAGCTAAGTTTTGTGGTAATTTGCATATATACCCCACCTTAGCATACGATCTTTCAGAATCAAATATCTACTTTAAGGACAAACTCTAGGGTAGTGGAGAAAGTGATACAAAGAATAGGAGGTATGTTTTTCTGCTAAGAAAGGTTGGGGCAGTGGCAAAGGTCATCCTGTATGGTTCCTGTCCATCCAGGGGGACTGGTGGGGGACAGAGAAAGGAAAGAGGGGAGCTCCCAGGTGCCAGACAAGTGACCCTGTTGATGCTCAGCAGGCAGGATGAGTTTTGGTTTTCACACAACCCTGGAAGCAGACCCAACTCTGAGCAGGGTGGAGAGATGGGACCAGGCAACTTTTCAGGATCGCCTGTCCCCTGTTGGATCATGTCATATGTGTTGGGTCCTCTAAACTGTCAGTGGCGTCCACTACAAGTGCAGAGCTACAGAGACACCTTTAGGAGGCCAGGGGATGGAGTTCCCTTCAGGGTTCACTCTGGGCAGGGGGTGAGATGGTGAGATGGAGGACACGGGAGGCCAAGAGAATCTCAAACCCCGAGGGGAGAGGGAACCCAGCCCGAGGGGAGGGACACCCATGCCCTGAGAATAATGGCCTGGGCTCTTTTCATGACTGCCTTTTAAACCCCAGGTGACAGCCTTTACTCACTGGGACTGTAGGGAGGTGCTTCCCAGGAGAGAATCCAGCCCTGCTTAGGGTGAAACCTGGTGGCCCAAGTGTAGATTCCAGGTCACAGGGAGCGTTTCTGTCTCAATCAGAAGAAAGAACAAACAATTCTGTCTGCTGGTTACTTTCCTTGTGCTACCCTCAAGAAACATCCAGAAGTAAGTCTTCATGTGGACCAGAGAGTAAGTTCTGGGGGACCCATGGCATAGCATGGTGACTCTAGTGAGTGACAATGCAGTACATACTTGAGTGTTGCTAAGAGGGATTCTGAATGTTCTCACCACAAGCATGCTGAGTATGTGAGGTGATGGGTGAATTAGCTTCATGCAATAATTCCTGGGCTTCTTTGGGATTCTGAACCAGTTCCTGGTGTAAGGTAGCTTCCCTTCCGCTGATTGGAGACCTTACCTTTGCAGTGGCCTATGACAGTGGGGACATATTGCCTGCCCTGTATTTCGTGATTCTCATCACACATGAGCACCCCAAGGCTATGAGAATCCTCTTTTCAGATCATGTCTATGAACAACCTACAGTGTTAGATGTGAGTTAATTCTCAAAAGTCACTGCTCAATTTAATGAATTCTTGGGCCTGGAGGAACAGAGCTGAGCTGTGCCCAAACCAGACAGAGGTTGCTGTCCTAGCCCAAGGAGACCTGGTCCACCTGCTCTGGAGTGACAGCTGTGACCAGACCTACATCTGGACCCCCCTAAAAGTGCACTTGCAGGTGTTGAGAGGGTACAAAAGGCTGAGCTCCTGCAGTGGGAAAGGCTGGCCACTGAATCAGGACTTTCCTCCAGAGGTTCAAGAGCTGCCCAGCCAGTGGGACCATGGGAAAGCTCAGGCCTGGGACCTCTGCCCTGCCAACTGTGGGCTGTGGGACCATGTGAGGGCTGCAGAACCTTGCTGTGCCTGTTTCCTTATCTGTGTGATCTGGACCTGTGGATTCCTGATCTGGGGAGCCCATGTGCAGGACCCCAGGGTGCTTGTTAAGGCTGTTTGCAGGCATGTCCAGGCAGTGGGACTGCGCCTTCTTCTTCATCAGCTTCAAGTTCCTGTTCCTCTCCATCTTGATCTATTGGCTCATTGTGGAAGGGTCCAAGGACAAGAGCCACCCTTGTATCCTGCCCGTGGACATCCCCTGCGTCACGCCAGCAGCTCCGCCCACCCGATAGCATCCCACTTTTGGGGAACAATAGCTTTTTCCTGGAGACATTTTACTAGACCAGTCCCAACTTCTTGATCTCATACTAGTGCACCCCGAGGTTCAGGTGATCATGCTGATGAAGGGGCTGCACAATGGAGTGCCCTTTTGTACCAGCACCTGGGCGACTTGTTTGGGCTGTTTCCCAAACATCCAGGTGCTGCCACTGGACCTGGATCTGTTTCTCTGGGGGACGCCTCTGGCTGCCTGGCATTCGGGCCATACAGCAGCCCTGGGAGCCCTACCTGCTCCTCTGTGCCCTCTGACATTGTCTTCTTGGTTTTGTGTGGAACATCAGGGCATCTACCTGGACATGGACTTCATCATCCTCCCCAGCCCAGAAGCACGCAGGGCGCAGTCATGCTGCCTCCACCACAGCACCTGGTGACTTCATAGCCTACTATAACAGCTGGATCTGGGGTTTCTGGGGACCCCAGCTGCTCACACACGTCCTTAGGAAGTGGCACTCTATCTGAAGCCTGACCCAGAGCCACAGCTGCCATGGCATCGCCACCCTGCTCCATCAGACCTTCTATCCCATGCCCTGGCAGAGCTTCAAGAAGCACTTGGAGGACATCAGCCGTGATGAGCTTCCATGGCTGTTCAATGCCACCTGCCCTGGGCATGTGTGGAGCAAGAACAGCCAAGGCATGTGCTTGGAGGTCATGTCCCAGGTGCTGCTGGCCCGGCTCCAGTCCTGCTACTGCCCCGTGACACACGAGGCCATGATGCTGTCCCTGTGAGGTGCTCTGCCGGGCACCCAGGATAGGTGCAGGAGGAGACAGATGTCTGAGCGGTGGTTGTCATGGACAGCTTGGGGCAGGTATATGTGGTGTGGAGGGATATCTGTCCCTCCAGGCCAGTATGAGGCTGGTGAGCCAGTGCTGGGCCTCTGCTCTGTGCCAGGTCAGAGGCTGACTGGGCCTTTTTTGCATTAGGGCTGTGCAGACAACAGGCAAGGAGAGTGGCTGGGTGGGGTGACGCCTCCCTGTAATCCAAGCACTGGAGGCTGAGGCACATCCAGGCAGCCTGGGCAGAGTTCAAGGTCAGCCTGATCCATGTGGCCAGATCCTGTCTCAGAAAAAGAAAAAAAAGCTTGCTATCTGGAAAGCATCTTCCAGTCAGCTCTGGGAAGCCAGGTGGGTTGGGACTGAGGCCCTGGAGGGAGCCTGGGGTGGTGGCGGGAGTCATTTGGAGGAGTACTGAGCAGGGGTCAAGGCCACAGAGCCAACTGCAGTGCTTAGTCCTTCCATGCATGGGTGCCACTGGGTGATATGTGCCAGCACCCACTTCCACTGGCACAGAGTACAAAAGTTCTTTTGGGCAGGAGAAGCATTCTATTTTTTATTTTTTGGTACTGCGAAGTGAATTCATAACCTTGCGCTTACCAGGCAAGCATCTGAGCCACCCAGCCCTGGAGGAGAAACATTTTAAAGGCCATACTGTGCTATTACATGCAAGAGAATATAATAAAGATGACTTGCCGACAAAAAATAAAAACGAACTCTACAAAGGCACTGCTCAATTCAACCGGGATGCTGGGAGAAAGTATAGATTCAGGCAGATGACCACCTGAGAAAAGCTTGAGAACACTTTTCATGTGAAGAGGTGCAAGACAGGAGTTGTGTGTAATTTCCACACTGACCCATTGTTTCAAGTAAGGCTGGGGAGGTACCCTGTTGCTGACAGCCATGGAAGATGACATCTGCCTCCTCTGCAGTGCAGTGTGGGTCACATCAACCTTGCCTGCTCCAGAAAGAAAGGGCTGCCAGGCAGGTGGGGCCTGAGAGACAGTCTAAGAAGATGGAAAAACTGGTTTCAAACTTTCCCTCGGTGCCTATTAGAAGCCTTACTAGAATTAGAAGACATACGTTTCCCTCTTTCAGATATTGGGCTGCCATTTGCCAGAGAGAATAGAAATGTTCAAAGTCACCATCACCACCATGTGAAGGGGCCGCTGGAGCGAAGCAGTGCCTGGGGACACCTGTGTGCTCAGAACCTTAGGGTGGCCCTGAGTGTGGATGGCTCAGTTCCTGGAAGCTGTCCAGTGGCAGGTGTCCTACTGGCTTTTACCCGGATCTCTTGAGCACCCTTAAAGACAATTTCTCAGGGAAACCTCACCTTTTAGTCTCTTGTCATTTCCTTTCCTTTCCACTTGCTGTCATTCGATGAGGAGTCCACCCTGTCCTGTGCTATTCACAGAGATGGCTCCCACCGATGGTACCCCTTGGGATGGTGCTCCTTCAGCTCCTGCTCCCAGGATGTCCCCAAGACAAGGCAGAAAGCTCAGCTCAGAGCGCGGGGCCCATGGAGCCGGTGGCTGGGTTCCCAGGGCCTCAGAATTCCTTGTTAGGTCCTTCATGAGCAGAGTGCTGAATGGGGTGGTGGTGGCTGGAAATCAAGGAGCCCAGGTCAGCGTCGGAGGTCGGGACCCAAGGACACTGGGCAGGGAGTCTCCTGGATTTCTCCATCTGTGGGGTGCAGAATCCCTACCGTGGCACGGATGTTCTTGACAGGAGCTGCTGGCTGTCCCCCTGGCACTGGCCACCTGCACCACAGCACTGGCTGGACCTGCGCCGGGCTGGGCTGTCCCTGGGCGTGCAGTCAGAGCAAGACAGGGGACAGAGCACGTGCAGGACCCTCCGGAGAATCCGTGTATTTATTTAAGGGGCCCAGGGCTTCTTAGGGGAGCCAAGACCTTGCCAGGAATCTAGGCTGCAGGAGCCTGGAAACATCCGGCCTGCAGGGGGCGTCCGAGAGTCAAGGACGTGAACCGGATCACCAGCCCTTCGCAGTTGCTTCGTTCACCATTTAGTTCCCCATTGGGGTGTCCCCCTGGCACTTTATGGGGCGTGACATGTGCACCACCACATCAAAATCATGTGGGCCAGCTCCCGTCGTCAGCTCGCTCATATAAGTCTTATTGGTTCCGTCTCTTTGGAGGCTATCTTCCCCTAACGTGTTTTCATTTGACCAGTCTGCATTTCCACCAGCAAGTTCAGTCTCCCCGGCCTCCCCAGCACTGCAAAGCGCTTGTTCCTGCGGATCCAAACTTTAACCCTGCGCAGTGGGAAGGCGGTGATCTGAACACTGCTAACTTTGGTTGCAGTCTTTCTTGCTGCTAGTGACCGGTTTCCAGGTCACGGGCAGGTTGCTTAAAGTTCTTCACAACCACGGAGGGTGGTGATGATTGCGGTAGCTCAGGTCCTGTTAGTGACGGATTTCACCACTGCCTGGGGCTGGTGCAAGTGGGTGTTAGGGGGCCCTGGGTGGCTCATGGCTTCAGAGGTGCGACTGGCACAGGTAACCTTGGGCAGGACTAGAAAGGCCAGGCCCGGGGGATCAACAGGGGACTTGTGGACATTCCTTGTTATACAGGCTTCTCACACACTGTCATTCGAAGATCAGGTCTGTAAAAATCCCAAATGTCACCTTCAAAGCAAACATGTCTGTGTATGCGTGTGTATATGAATATGTGTATTTTACAGCGGATCAAACCCAGGGAACACTGGGCTACATCCCCAGCCTTTTTCTTTCTTATTTTAAAAAAGGATTTTGCTAAGTTGCCCCAACTAGCCTTGAACCTGTGATCTTCCTGCCTCAGCCTCCTGAGTGCTAGGATTTCAGACCTGTGTCACCACACCAGCTTTGCATTCTAATCTGCCTTTCTTTCTTCCTTTTTTTTTTTTTTTTTTTTTTATTTATGGTCTGGCTATGCCTTGGACTCAGTACATAGCCCAGGCTGGCCTCAAACTTGAGGCAATCCTCCTGCCTCAGCCTCTTGATTGCTGGGATTACAGGTGTGTGTCACCATGTCTGGTGTGGTCTAGTATTTCTTAATGCATTTATTTCATTAACTAGGGTGGATTCTGTTGTCTTAGCCATGAGCCTTGACTGATACAGCCCCAATTCCCAGCATGCTAGGGATGATCCCTGAGAAGGCAGACTCGGTGGAGCATCTGCAGGGAGTTGACAGCTACTATGCTTCTGGCATATGGAGAAGGTTAAACCCTACGCACATCAGTAAAGCACCTGGTATGATTTCTGTCCCACTACATACTCTGTATGCTGGCTGCTGTTGGATGTTGGATTTTGCTCTTGCGTTGCTCTGAGATGGGATGGTGTTTCTTTGTTGAACCTGGACCTGGGTCATACACTCCCCGCACCCCCAGGTTCTCTTGTGTCCAGGAGTGGGAGAGGTATCCAAGACAGTGGTCATCCTGGTGGTGTCGACCAATTGTCCCCTGCAGGAAGTGCTCAGCCGCCTTGCTGGGGGCTCCCCTTGATCTCCTGCTTGAGTCTCTACCCCCAAGCTGTCTTTCTCCTGACCCAGAGCACCTGTTCCCTGAATTCCCAGCTCCCACTTTCTGATCTTATCCTCTTCTTCCGGAAGAGCTCACCCTCAGTGCTTTGTAGAGGCGCGTTACACACTAGGTAACTGATTTGAGACCTTCTGTATCTGAAAATTTCTTTTAGTGCTCTAGACTTGACAGTTGGCTGGATTTATAATTTAGATTGGAAATAATTTTACCTTGACAAATTCCTTGTCTTCTTGCTTTTGGAATTGCTTGGAGCAGTCAAAAGCTATTCTGATTTGGATCTTTTTTTACACGTTCTGGTTTTCTCTCTGCAGTTGTCCAGGCTTCCTTGTTCTCCAGTGCCCTGAGGTTTCACACAAGGGGTGGTGTGGGTCCACTTTAACCCATTTTTTTGGACACATGTAAGCCCTTTCAATCTGGGAATGGTCAGCCTTTGGTTCTGAGTCATTTTAAAAAATTGTTCCTTCCTTTTTTAAATGATTTCCCTAGAACAAAAATAGGACTGATATGGATGTTTGACTTCCTGTTCTCATTTCTCTGATTTTCCACCTTTTAAGTTTGTTTTCTTTCACTACTGAGGACTGAACTCACGGCAGGCACTCTGGTGAGGAGCTACATTCCCAGTCCTTTCGTTTTAATTTGTCTTGTTTTGAGACAAGTTCTTGCTAAATTGCCCAGATTGGTTTCGGATTTGCAATCATAGTGCCTGAGCCTTCTAAGTAGCTGGGATTATAGGTGTGTGTTGCTCCACCCAGTTAATAATTCACTTTCTAGGAAAATATCCTGGAGAAATGACCAGAACTGGCCAGGAACATAATCAAAATGATTCTAGGTATTATATTTACAGAAACATTAGAAATGAGCTAGTTACTGACAGTATGAGGTTAGTTTAATGGATTATATTACACTTACATGTTAGAATCTCCAATACAATAAACTTTTGGTAGGAAAAACAATTTTTTGAGACTGGATCTTTCTATGCAGTTCAGATTGGCCTTGGACTCACTGATTAGCCCAGGCTGGCCTCGAACCCATGGTGATCCTCCTGCCTCATCTTTCCAAGTGATGGGATTATAGGCATGTGCCACCACACACAGGCTGATGGAAAATTTTTCATAAAGTCATATAGAAACAGACAATATGATCTCAGTTTAAAATGGCTGTTTATTTATTTATTTATTTATTTATTTATTTATTTATTTATTTTTTGGTACCAGGGACTGAACTCACAACTTGCCAGGTAGGCGCTTATACCACTGAGCTAAGTCTTTAGCCCTAAAATAACTAGGTTTAGCCAGGCTTCATGGAACACCCCTATCATCTTAGCACTTGGGAGGCTGATGCAGGAGGATTTCTGCCTTGGTTACATAGTGAGTTCAAGGACAACCTGAACTACATAGTGAGACTTGGTTTCAACAAAACAAAACAAAACAAAACAAAACAAAACTTTAAATGTTGCGATTATAAAAGAAAGCATACTCATTGCAAAAGTCTTAGAATATACAGGAAAGTATACAGAAGTGAGTCAAACTCACATTACCTTCACTTGTTGTGAGCGGGTACTGGGAAGCAGCCCTCAGGTTCTGGAACGGAATGAGGGACAGAGACACCCTCTGAAATCGCCTTTCCATGAGGGAATCCCAGGGGCAGAGAGAGAGGCATGGGGAGCAGCAGGGCCCCCGAGTTTCTCTTCTTTGTTGTAGCTACTGTCTTGAGTGTGTCCTGCATGTAGTCTTTACTACTTGTGCAATGATTTGCACATGTGCTCTGCCTTAGCTTACAAAAACTCATAGGAAGTAGGATCTGTTATTCCTGTTTTATATATGATAAAAAGGAGGCTCAGAAAGGTGAAGCAGGCTGCTGACAATCATGAGTTTTTTTTTTTTTTTTTTTTTTTGTTTGTTTGTTTTGAGACAGGAACTCACTATGTAGCCCAGGCTGGCCTCGAACTCACAGCAATCCTCCTGCCTCAGCCTCCTGCCTGCTAGGATTGCAAACCTGCACCAACACGCCCAGCAGCATGGTGTGTTATACTGAAAATTGTGAATTGCAACGCACCGCAGCTCTCACAGCACGCAGCCTTCCGACTGCCCGGTTGCTGAGGTCCTACTGTGAGCAGCAAACCTGTCTTCAGGCAGCGGGGTGGACAGCGGGGGAGGAGTGGGGGGGGGAGCACTTTTCCCACAGCAGGAGATGGGGAGCTGGAAGTCCTCGCGGCAGTGGCCTCAGCGGCCACGAGGGAGCAGCAGAGGTCTGCGCTGGCCCAGCTGCTCTGTCCCCGGCTGACTGCAGGTCGCTGAGTCAAACCTGAGCCTCTGGTGTCCAAGAATAGCAAGGCGCCGGAATCCACGTGGGCCCGCGCCTCCCCAGGGTTTCGAAAGCCCTCACGTCATCCCTGTCGTTTCGTAATCCTGTGCACGGAGCGCTTTTTCCATCTTCCTCTTGCGGATCTAGCTGGCCAGGCACGGGGCATCTTCCGGCGGGTGTCCTGGGGCCGCAGAGCATTTCTGAAAACAACCAGAAAGCCCCATTTTGCTCCAGAGGGAGTCGAGCACCTTAGTGCATAACCGAGGGGCTCTGTAAAGGGCGGTGATGCACAGCAGAAGGGAGAGGGCACAGCAGTTGTCAGCCAGGGGACAGCGGAGGTGGCTGGGTTTAGTGCGAGCCTGCAACGTCTTCTCTCACCAGGGCCTGGGCAGGTGCCGGGGCCAAGTGCTGTGGGCCAGGATCACGTTAGGCAGCAGGTTCCTGGTGGGAAACCATTCCGTGCAGAAAACACAGCGTGTGTTCCAGGAATCAGGAGTTTGGAATCTCCGGATCCTGGGGCAGGGGTGGGTGGGGATGGCTGAGGCAGACCCAGGCTCGGAAGATGGTGCAGGAGGGGTGCAGGAGTGAGGGGGTGGATTCAGGGTTCAGTGTCAGAGCTGGTGGGGGAAGAGAATCAGCCTCGCCTAGACCCTTCGGGCTGGGGTTGTGACAGCTGTGTCCTTCATCCCTAAAGGTCACAGGAGAGCTTGGGCCTGCATGGGTGCATCCTTCTCCAAAGACAGAGACTGTGGCCCTCAGGCTTATCCTGGTCTGGATTATTCTAGTGAGACCCCTCCCCCAAAAGTAAAAGCGTCTTCAGTGGGCCTGGCTGAGTGTGGTAGCCCTTTAACAGCTGGGACTGATTCTTGGTGGAAAACTTATGTGATCCCTGAAGTTCTGTTCTCCCCCAAGATGGGCTCAGAACACAATAAAGTGCAGGGGGGCACTGGACATGCTGCTTGGGCTCCATTTGTTCCCTGCAGCCCAGGGGCCTTCGGGTGTGTCTGCTCCTCAGACGTTGTGGACACAGGTGTGCCACTCCGCAGCCAGGAGGCCGCCTGTGTCACATGGACACCCCAGCCTTGCCAGTCTTTGACTATAGTCCCAGGCATCTTCTCTTTGGGCAGCCGCTCTCAAATTTCACCTCTGCAGCGTGGCCAAGGGCAAGGGAGAGGGGAGGGCTCAGGTTCAGCTCCTGGGCTGTGGCCCCATCACGGCGAGACGGTCTGCAACCTTTCTTTCTGTTTCTCCAAAGTCCACGTGCGTGGGCCTTCTGATTTTAAATTGTCCTGCTGAGGATTAGCATAAAACAGTGTTTCAGATGACCTACAGTGTTTAAATGGCTGCTTAATGCTCTCAGTTCTAAGATGCTGTCAGTTTCAAGAAGCACCCTGGATTTAATGACCTTTCATTAATGTTTTCCCAGAGAAGCAAGAGAACGGCCACACTAAACAATCACATCAATGCCTTCAGATTTTAGAAATGTTGAAATATGGGGGAGGGGGTAGATGCATGTCTTAAAATGAAGGAGATTCTTGTTGGTAATTTTCATCCATTAAAAAACCAAACAAACACCAACCTCAGAGTATAATTGGCTCCCCCCCCCCAAAATGTGTGACATTTGTTCTTGGCTTCTTGTCTCCCTTATGCAGCACTGGGAGGTGCGGTGTGAAGTCACGCTTGTTGTGAGTTGGCCATGGTTTTCCCAGAGAGGATTCTCTGTGGCCATCCAGGACGTCCATGTTCAAGATCCAGTTAGCTGAAACATATTGGTTAAATAAGGACCATTGTCAACACTATGGAAATTGTAAACATTTGGGATTCAAAGTCATTCTAAAACAATACTATGTCAACAAGCGTTTTGTGACTCCCTAATATGGAACTGTTTCTCTACCTTTGTGTCATCTCTAGGACATGCATGGGTTCGCGGGTGATGGTTTCATGTCGCTCTTCAAGGCCTTTGCATCCAAATCGATATTCTTGCCATGGAAATGAGAGAAGTAAGAGACGGGGCAGACCAGGTCCTGATGGGTTCATGGCTGAATTCTACAAGAAATTTAGAGAAGATTCGACACCAATACTCCTTAAGCTCTTCAACGAAATTGAAAAGGAAGTAATCCATCCCAAATCATTCCTGGAGGCAAGTATTATTCTGATACCAAAACCAAAAAAACCATAGGCCAGTCTCACTAATGAGCATTGATGCAAAGATTCTCAGTAAAATACTGGCAAATAGTATGCAGCAAATCATCAAGATTATACATCATGACCAAGTGGGATTCATTCCAGGAATGCAGGGATGGTTTAACATATGCAAATCAATAAATGTAATACACCAAATAAACAGAGCCCAAAACAAAAACCACATGGTCGTCTCAATAGATGCAGAAAAAGCTTTCAATAAGGTCCAACACATGTTCATGATACAAAACCTTCAGAAACTTGGAATATACGGTATTTACCTCAATCTCCTAAAGGCCATCTATGACAAACCAACAGTCAACATTATACTAAATGGACAAAAACTGAAAGCTTTCACTCTAAAATCAGAAACAAGACAAGTATGTCTACTATCATCACTCCTATTCAATATAGTTCTGGAAACACTAGCCAGAGCAATCAGACAAGAGAGAGAAATAAAAGGAATAAAGATAGGAAAGGGAGAATTTAAAATATAAGTATTTGCAGATGACATGATACTCTATATAGAAGACCCAAAAAACCCCATTAAAAGATTAGTAGAGGTAAAAAACAAATTCAGCAGTGTAGCTGGATACAAAGTCAATGCTCAAAAATCAATAGCATTCCTGTACACAAACAAAAACTCATCCGAGAGAGAAATTATGGAAATACCATCCATCACAATAGCATCTGAAAAAATGAAATACTTAGGAATCAAACTAAGAATGTGAAAGACCTATATGCTGAAATTTGTACTACTCTAAAACAAGGAGATTGAAGACAATATTAGAAAATGGAAGGATATTCTTTCCTCTTGGCTAGAAAGAACCAACATTGTGAAACTGGCCATAGTCCCAAAACTCTTATACAGATTTAATGCAGTCCCAATCAAAATACCATTATCATACCTTACAGATCTAGAGAAAACACTCCTAAAATTTATTTGGAAACAGAAGAAACCTAGAATAGCAAAGGCAATTCTGGGCAATAAAGGTAAGACAGGAGGCATCTCAATTCCTGACTTGAAACTATACTATAAAGCTACTCTGATAAAATCAGCATGGTACTGGCAAAGAAATAGACCTGAGGATCAATGGAACAGATTAGAAAATGCAAACACAACTGCAAAGACACTCAGCCACCTGATATTTGATAAAGGGGCTAAACATGTTTAATGGAAGAAGGATAGCCCCTTTAATAAATGGTGTTGGAAAATTGGCTCTCCACATGCCAAAGAGTAAAACTAGATCTATGCCTATCAATGTGCACTAAGCTAAAGTCAAAATAGATCAAAGATCTAAATATTAAAGCAGAAACACTAAATCTACTGGAAGACAAGATAGGTAGAAGTCTTGGAGACATAGGCCTAGGCAGAGAATTCATGAACAAAATGCAAATTTCACAGGAAACATTTTAAGGAATCAACAACTTGGATCTCTTATTACTGAAAATTTTTTCAAAAGAAATCACCAACAAAGTGAAAAGAAAACCCACAGACTGGGGAAAATTAGACCAGCAACCCCTCAGACAAAGGACTTATATCCAAAACATATAAAAAATTAAAAAGCATCAGACCCCCCAAATTCAAAGACCTTCTCCAAAAATGGGCATCTGAGATGAACACGCAGTTCTCAGATGAAGATATACAAATGGAGAACAAATACATGAAGAAATGTTCACCATCACTGGTCATTCGAGAAATGTAAATTAAAACAACATTGAGATTTCATCTCACTCCGGAAAGAACAGCTGCCATCAAGAAATCAACTGATAAATGTTGGCGAGCCTGCAGGGGGAAAAAGGAACACTGCTCCACTGTTGGTGGGAGCGCAGACTGGTGCAACCACTATGGAAATCAGTATGGAGAATTCTCAGAAGACTAGGATTGGAAGTTCCATTCAATCCAGCTATTCCCATCCTGGGTATATTCCCAGAAAAACTGAAAAGATCATATCACAGTGATATTAGGTGCACCCATGTTCATGGCAGCACAATTTGTAATAACTGAATCTTGGAAACAACCAAGATGCCCATCAACCGCAGAGTGGATGAAAAAGATGTGGTTTTTTAATACAATGGAATATTGCTTATCTATAAAAAATAATGATCTTGAAGCCTTCATAGGTAAAGGGAGGCAACCGGAGACTATCCTCATGAGTGAAATAAATAAGAATTATATTTATAAATATCACATTGTCTCTCTGGTGTAAAAGCAATAAAAACTGTAGGAGTAATAAGATCCAATATGTGTAATTGCTATTGTAAAATAGAAAGGGAAGGAAAGTGCTCTAAAGGATATCACTGCATGTATGCTTAAGTGTGTAGGATTGATGACCATATTACTAAGTTTTTGTTGGATCATTGAACAGAACAGTTTGCACTCTCGGTGTTTGTCCACTTTCTATGCTTTAGTTTTGTGACTTGGACAGCTATTTCTAAGATGACAATATGTAATTTATTAACTAGTGATTTCTTAGTATTAATTTTTTTGAAATTATGTATTATTTCTACCCTTTTTCTGTTTTGCTTTTTTTTTCTCTTTAAATAAGAGAGAGACAGAGAGAGAGAGAGACAGAGAGAGAGAGACAGAGACAGAGAGATGGGGCAGGGACACCCTACCCCATCAGCTCTTTTCCTGCCGTGCACATTATCACCTGTCACCTCATTTGTTTGTTTCTTTTTTGGGGGGTGCTGGGGATTGAACACAGGGCCTCACACATCCTAGGCAAATGCTCTTTCTCCAGGCTGCAGCTCAGCCCTCTTGTTTCTTGCAGTAACACTGTGAATGTTATTGCCGTAGATCATGGGACCAGGGAGACATTTCAGCTCTGACTGGTTAAGCGCCCTGCCTGACACCACATGGTGGAGGGGTGCTTGGGTCTTGGTTCCTAGTCTCTCTTTTCTTCACTGGCTTCTGCAGTGTAGAACCACCTAGGTCTTTTTTTTTTTTTTTTTTTTTTTTTTTTTTTTTTTTTGGTATCATTTATTTGTTCCTATAAGATCAGACTTTTTTGTATCAGGAATCGAACTCAGGACCTTGTGCCACTGAACTGTATCTCTGGTCCAAGACTGCTTTCTCTGCTCTCCTCTTCTCTGCTTTCCTCTCCTATCTTCTTTCCTTCTTTTTTTGTTTTGCTTTTTTGAGATTGGGCCTCAGTATATCATTCAGGCTGACCTCAAACTCACAGTGATCCTCCTGCCTCAGCCTCCTGAGTGCTGAGGATCACAGTCATACAACACGATGCTCAACTAATTTCTTACTGTTTTGTACCCTCACTTCTTCACGCTGAGGGAGTCCTGAGCCCAAGACCTATTTAAATGCATTTCCTCAATAACCAAATGTTTGAGCCCCAGCTGTGTGGTCAGCATGGGCAAACAGGTCACAGGGTAGCCTTGGTGACCTCATACCTGCCTGTAAACCCCCTAGATCAGGCCCTTGGGACCATGTGTGCACAGAGGACGCGCTGTGCCCAAGCTCTGCCAGGGCTGCCCTTGAGGCCTCCCTGGCCGAGGGCTTGATGGACAGGTAGGCGGCAAGGCCATCTGCTAACACAGCAGTGGGCACTCGGGGCAGGCAGCCATGAGGGCACTGATGAGCCTGCTGGTGAGGAGAGACGGGGAGGGCCCAGGGCCAGCGTGGGGGACATTTCACTGAGCAGGGGACATTCGAGCTGCCCTCTGAAGGCGGAAAGGAATTCACTGGTGGGCAGAGGGCATTCCTGGGGTGGGGCAAAATGCAAAGGCTTGGAAGTCACTGGCCGGGGTGCAGAGGGAGGGAGAGACAGTGAGCCTCGCTTCTCCTGGATGCCCTCCCTGCCCTCTTGGCCCAGCCTGGGCCCATGGGACCCTTCTTTCCTTGCTGGTCATGGCTCCTGAACTTCAGCCCCCACAGCAGCACTGTTCTCTGAGAACCTGTCCTTCCTAAGCCCACCCTGAGCTTGGCTTCCAGGGTGGACACCTGATCCGTGCAGTGGCTGGTGGGGTGGGGATTGGGGCGGTTCTGGAGCAGCTGCGAGGACGAGGACAAGGACAGGGTTGACTCCAGACGGAAAGCGTTTGGAGAATTCTGGCATGACGTCACACGTCATGACGTGGCTCTGGAAGCCATCCTCCCCTTGCTTCTTGTCCAGGACTAGAACCAAGAGGTAGACTAGGCGGGGGCCACCGAGGTGTCCTGGGATTGATGGGTGCCCTTCATCGGTTCCCGGTGACTGGAGCCGGCAGAGCTCCTGTGCTTTTGTCACTGACTGGGAGTGAGGCCAGTGTGGGTGCTCTGGGTTGTCCTACCACCCGGGCTTCATCATCTCTGCTCTCACAGCCAGGCCTCGTCCCAGGAGGCCGCTAATGCTCCCGATGCGGCTCCTGCAGCTCAGCCTCCCAGCCCTGCTAAGCCGGATTGAGCCAGGTGAAGAGCCGGGGCTGCCCCAGTCAGGGCCTGAGCATGAAAGGAGAGCCCTGTCACAGCTGCCATCAGCACCCGGGCCCCAGCCCAAGGCTTGTCTTCAAGGCACCATCTGTCACCGGTGAGGGCTGAGTGGGGACAGAAGGCTGGCACAGGGGCTCAAGGGGCAGGGCTGGAGGGGAAGTCATGGGGCCTGCACGGTGCTTTTCCTGAGGTCCCCGGGAGAGAGAGAGCCCCTCTCCCCTTCTCTCGCCAGCTTGACCCACCCAGGCCAACTCTGAGCTGTGGCCTGAGTGCAAAAGGCAGACGTGGTCGGCTCCCAACCCAACCTGGCTTGGCTGCTTGACATCTAAGAGCATCCTCTTCTGGGGAAGCCAGCAGGCACAGCCAGATGGTCTCCAGCCCAGGCAGGCGTCCAGGTCCTGGCATCACTGCGGTCACTGCAGCATCATGAGACGGGAGTCAGGCACTGGGCACCAGTCCACAGGACAGGCTGTCTGGGGTTGGTGCCCCGGCTGGCTCTCTGCCTGCTCCTGGGGAGCAGGCCATCCTCAAGGTGTGGAGCTGGCCACGGCAGGGGACTCCTCCAGGTGGGAACACACCCCAGACAGGGCAGGGCCCTTGGGAGAGGGACAGGTTCACAGAGCCTGGAGGACAGGAGGGCCACCTGCATCCTCAGCGGAGCACTCATTCACCTGCCACTTTAGAAAGTGGTCAGGGGGTGGAGACAAGAGCAAAGAGGAAGGTGAGGGATTTGAGAATTGGGGGAAAGGGGTAAGAAGAGGGAAGAGAGGGAAGAGGACAGACGCCAAGAGAGGGGAGGGGAGAAGGAAAGCAGGACACCTGAGGGAAGGGGTTGGGCTGTGGACCCCTACGTGGCTCCAACAAGATGGAGGCTTGCCTTGTGTAGCACAGTAGGAGGTCCAGGGTTAGTGTGGGAGCCCAGGCACCCCTATGATTTCAACAGTGTTACCCTTATTTGTGTCACCCCCAAATGCCCATCCTCACCGCAAACACAACTGCAAGCAACAGGGTAGAGGGTGGAATAGGGGAGAACACAATCCTGTCTCTAAGGATCTCAGTGGGAGTGAACTTTGCCCGTCATCTTGTTGGGCAGAATACTCTCAGGTGTATAACGTAGCTGCAAAGGAGGCTGGGAAATGTAGTTTTCTTCTGAGCATTCCTATGTCCGGCATAAAAACCTCAATGAGAAAGGAGACATGGATATTGGGACACAAGAAATTGAAGAGGGAGGGAGGCAGGGAAAGATTGGAGCCACCTCACCAGACCCAACCGCCAGCACTCCTGGAGGCTCCATGGCCCAAGTTGCCTGGGTCTAAGGTCTATCATGGGCCAGATTCTTGAGGGTGGAGCCTTCCCCTTGTCTGAGATCGATGTGCCTGCGATTGATTGAGGTGGGCTGTGGGTTCCCTGGTGAGGCTTTGCAGGAAGGGTCTTCATCTAACCCAGAGACAGAGGACAGCACAGGCTTTTCCTTTCTCAAGAGCCAAGATGAGGCGCTAGAGTATGTCTGGTGATCACAAAAAAGGAGATGATGTCATATGGAGTCGCATGCTTTCAGGTGCAAAACAGGAACCTGTCTCATTTTCTTCAAGGTCTGCCAGGATACACAGAACACATGGTGCTACCTCACATAGCAGGTAGACTGCACAGGATCCCACGTTACAGGATACCCAACCAGAATGTTCAATACACACATTGATTATCTGTCAAAACAAAATGTCCTCAGGAGTGCAGCTCCAGGAATAACTCAGCCTCCCCTTGTCTGGGCTCTGGTTTTGTCTTCAGAAATTCTCATGGCTTTTCTTTTTGGCTGTAAGTTGGCGGCTAGACCTCCAAGAATTACGTCTTCCTAAAACTGCTTTTAAGGGAAGAACTCTACTTATCACTGTCATGTTATCTGGGAGACACACCTTTTCTAGAACCTTTCCACAATTGGCTAGATTCTCTCTCTATCTGTAAGCCAATCACTGGTGAGAGTCTTTAAGCCTTCTGTGGAATGATAATTTAGTCCAGTTGAGATTCACCATCTGGGACCCACTTTCTCTGGACACATTGCAGTAGGATCCTGAACAAGACAAATTCTGCTACCAAATGAAAAGGAGGCCATGGCTATTGTTTGGTGTACGGCAGACATTAATAATCAATTATAGCTTTCTTTCTCCGTCAGTACCAATCACAGTTGACATAAGATTAAAGCATAGTGTCATCTTGGCTTTAGACAACGGGAAGTAAGGAAGCTATAATTCAACGCATTTTAAGTGACCAACTCATCTTGTCATTACCTCATGTGATGCTTTTAAAGATGTCCATCAACTCTTGGATACTTTTTTTAGAAGGCCGTCACTGATTCCCTTCATTTTGAGTGTGGGCTGGATTTAGCAACACATTTATAATTAAAGGAAGGTAGCAGAGATGGTGTGTGGCTTTTAGGAGAATGTCATAAAAAACAGTGTAGCTCTCTCTTGAATGACTCCTTCACAGTGAGGCCAGCCACCATGCCACGAGGAAGACCCGGCACCCTATGGGGAGAGCACGCTCTCTCTGGGATCAGACTGAGGCCTTCTGCCAACAGCCAGGAGAGGGAGCCATTCCAGAAGCCAGTGCCCTCCGTTCTGGTGAATCTTCAGTCAAGATCTACCCCTGGGTGACAGCTCAGCTGCAATCCCAGGACAGACCCCAGGCCTGCACCCTCAGCGAAACCACGCTAATTTTCTGCCCCAGAGAAACTGAGAAGAAAAGATGTTTATTTATGTATTCATTAAATGTTTACTTTTTTAGGCCACCAGGTTTTGGTGTCATTCGTTGTGCAGTGGGGCTG